ATATATATATATATACATATATATATATATACATATATGCGCATACCAAGGCCTCGCTTATCCTCCTCTTAAACAGTTAAATCTTTGAAGCATGCTTGTGTGAGAGTCATCTTTTTAACTCTTTTTAACTCTTAACTCTTTTTTAACTTTTTAACTCTGAAATATATACTTTGACACTTACAAGAGTTAATTACTCCTTAGGTTCTCTGTCTCTGTCAGTACCCTTCCTTCAGTCTCTTAGTTACATGGGCTTGAAACCCTAGCACCTGTTTCAATTCCTCCCTCCTCTTCAAACAAATCAGTCTCCATATCTCACTGGTTTTACCTCCCACAGCTTCTCTTCAAGCCAGCCCCTCTCCTTTGTGTCCATGACTACCGTCTGAGTTTAAGCCCCGGTGCCCTCTTTCCTGAACTTTTACAACAGCCCCTACGTGGCTCTTTGTAACCTATCCAGTGTATATGAGGCTGCCAGAAACACATCCCCAAGGAAGAGCTCTGGTCATTTCACTTCACTAACCCAAACCCCTTTGGTGGTTCCTCAGTGTTCAGCTAATAAAAGGAAAGCCCCAGTTCTTTAGCCTGATTTTTCAGGCCCTCCAAAATTTGACTCCAAGGTTGTCTTCCTTGACTAGTCTTTGTCCTTCCTCCCTTCCATTCTCTGTGCCTGTGTGCACTCCCTTTGCCTTCTTTCCCATTGCCTTTCTGCCTACAATACCCTCTGTCCTGTTTCTGCGTGTCCAAATATAAGTATTCTTTTTTTTAAGGTTTTGTTGTTTTGTTTTGTTTTGAGAGAGAGAGAGATAGAATCCCAAGCAGGCTTCATGCCATCAGCGCAGATCCTGATGTGGAGCTCAAACTCACGAACTGAACTGTGAGATCGTGACCTGAGCTGAAACCCAGAGTCGGTTGCTTCACCGACTGAGCCACCCAGGTGCCCCCCAAATGTAAGTATTCGTTTACCCCCAGCTTGAAGCTCCACCACACTGATCCTTTCAGCGGTAAATGATTTCTCTCTGCTCTGAATTCCCAGAACATTTAATTTGTTTCTTTTTTTATGGCATATATCACTGTTTTATGACATGGTCCTTTATGGACGTTTCTGTGGCCTCATTGTGGGACTTCATCTATGATGCAACTTTGTATCCACATTATTGCCTAACTGTACTAATATAGATAATAGGGACAGTGAACGTTTTTGAGTAGGGTCTGCTGAACAATCAAAATCTCAGCTGAAAAAAGTAGCACCACATTATTTTTTGAATGTCTAAAATCTCATCAAACTATACTTTCCCAACCAACTCTTTTGTGAATATTTCCTAATTCTTCATTTAAAAAATTAACTACTTAAAGGAGAAAAATGAATAGTCTTCAAAATTGAAATGAGGCTTTTTTCTCTTTGGTATATCTTTTCTCCATAAATAAAATTTTTCAGTTCAATGTGACAAGTCTCAGCATTTAACTATTCAGTGTTGTTTATCCATGTACAAACATGACACTTTTCCATGTGGATGTGCCCATCAAATGGGCTCCCTAACACAAGCGTTTGTTCACAAAACCCTAAACTCTTCAGTTGGTCTTTTACTAAGAAAACATAAGTGATGCACATGTTTCCTTTTGTTTGTTTGTTTTTTAACCGGGAGGGATATTAGTGCCTTAATCTAATTGATTCGGGCACCCCTCCCCAATCAATCAAGACAAAGTAAGTTATGGTACCTCTGCCGTCTCCTACCTAATGTCTTTCATTCTTATCATACTTTAAAACAGTGTGTCTCCATATGCATGGATTTCTCACCAGTATCTTCTGGAGAACGTGTTACAAAAGTATATTTCCAAGACCCACCCAAATTCAGAAATTTGGGGGTAGATCTCCAAGAATCTTTATTTTTAGTTAGCCTCCGAGGATGACTCTCATGGATCCAAAGTTTGTGAATCACAGGCTAAATGATTATCCTCTTCTAAATTCAGAGAGAAGCAGAGACCCATTATAGCATTGCCCAAGTGCACCTTAAATAAACCAAGAGGGTTGAGAGAATCTGTCCATCTTCTTTCCTTGCTCAAAGTTTGTTTTTTTTTTTAAGGTTTATTTACTTATTTTGAGAAAGAGAGAGAGAGGGAGAGAGAACAAGTGGGGGGAGGGGCAAAGAGAGAGAAAATCCCAAACAGGCTCTGCACTGTCAGTGCAGAACCTGATGAGGAGCTCAATCCCACCAACTTCGAGATCATGACCTGAGCCAAAATCGAGAGTCGGCCACTTAACCGGCTGAGCCACCCAGGTGCCCCTAAGTTGTTGTTTTTAAATATAACTTGCCCTAAATATTTTATTCTGAAAATGTTCAAACACACAGAAAAGTTGCATTAAAAAAAAAGGACAGTGGACACCCATATACTACACTACTAACATGTTACTGCAGTGGCTTTATCACAAGTCTATACTTTTATCCATCTCTCTGTTCATCAACCTGTCTTGGTTTTTTGGATGAATTTCAAAGTAAGTTTCAGACATGGATAGTGTGTAATTTGGGATGATGGTGAGTTGAAGAATAACAAGGCAGTGAGTCCTTGTAGTCCTGGTGAAAACACAGTGGCCTCGTTTGCTTGAACAGGATTGGTGGCTGCCTGGTCTCTGCAGGACATTTAGAATACATTTACTCAAAGACAGAAGGGTAGTTTTGGGCTGGCTGTACACAGCCCCCACAGAGTAGTATCTATTTGTCTCTATTCATTTGAATAGAAGCTTTTGTTCTATAACTGGAAGAAGAAGGAGAGGTTTGGGGCCACAGAGAAGAGGAGAGATTAAATATGGAAGTAGATGGCGGCAGTGGCCTCTCTGCTCTTCTATGGCTTTTAAGGCCTTAATGGAGTTAGAGGCAGAGGTTTGCTGGGTTCGTGGTTAGCATCAAAGGTTGTGAGTCAGACTGCGGAGACCTGCATTCCAGCTACCCCAGGCTGTTTGAGCTTGGATATATTCCGGTTCTTGGCCTCAGTTTGCTGGTCTGTAAAATGAAAGTAATGGTAGTACCTACATTATATTGTTGAGGAGAAAATATGTGTGCCTGACGTGTAACTCAATCAACTTCAGTTGCTAAAATATAATTACATTCCTTGATGAGTTTCCTTAAATTTACACAAAATTAAAATATATGACTGTTGGAGCTGGTGAACAAGGAAGAGACAAGTAATCTCAGTGATTTTGACAAGTAAGCCTAAAAGGAATTCAGAGAGATGCAGGAGGGAGCAATCCTGAAAGTCCTTTCAGACAATCCTTTCCGCTTAAAATGAAACCTAATTGCTTTCCTTGCTCCGCAAGGCCTCTACGTTATGCGGCCTCTGCCTACATCTCCAGCTTTATCTCCTCTCCTCCTTTACTCGGTCCTTAGGACAAACTGTTCTCTTTGCAAGAAAAGTCTCCAGATCTTTACGAAGTTTGATAAATGGATAAGGCCTAGGGCGGCGGGGGCGGGGCTAGAGCGGGGGCGGGGCGGGGCGGGGTGGGGCGGAAGCGGGGGCGGAGGCCCAGGAAGTGACGGCCCGGCCGGTGGTCCTTCTGGAGTCGGTGTAGTTCGCGGCGCCACCTGTGCGGCCTCCGCGTTCCTGGGCGATGGAGAATGGAGCGGTGTACGGCCCCACCACTGAGGAGAACCCGGGCCCTGCCAGGGGCGGCCGGAGCGGCCTGGCCGCCTACTTCTCTCTAGGCCGGCTTCGGTTGCATCGGCGCCTGTTCAAAGTCTTGCAGCTGGTAAGTCCGCGGCCGGGGTGGGCGAGCCTGGCCGGGGCAGAGGGGGTCTGGCCCCGGGGCCGCCGGCCTGCGGGCTTGGGAGGCTGCCGAGCTGCTTCTCCTCGATCTGGTTGTTCAGGAAGCGGCGGTTTCCACACCCCCAGTTCCTTCTCTGTCTGCTGGAAAGGGGGGCGATACCTCCTGCCGCCGGGCTGCCTCTCAGCCCCAGGGTCTCCCCGGCTGGGTCCCCGAGGACGACCTAGGGCCCCGGAGCGTGTTACGCGGGTCCAGGAAATGCGTCGGAAAACCCAAGTCAGCCGCTCAGACTTCTGACACTCCATCATCTGTTACGACCTTCGTCTCCTCTCCCAGCTGTTACTCTGCAGTATCGTCCAAAATGCCTGTATTTAGACTACGACGTGCTTTGTGTTTATCTTTCTCTGGTTCTTGCGGTTTTCCTGGTACGATCCCATGGGGCAGTTTAATTTGTTGAACAAAGTCTTCCGTTACTCCTCACGGTATTGAGATGTGTGTATTCAGTAAATTGTCTCCCAGATGTCTTATATTGGCTGGAAAAGAATTACCTCTGAAGGAGCGATATGTGTGTACGAAGTACAAAGTGAAAGGGACAGCTTGTATTTGTGTGCAGGTGGCAAAAATAGGGCATGGCATACCTCTCCCTCAATTTTATTGAGTTTCCGTTTACTTTAGGCAGTAAACGCGCCTTCACCTAGTAGTGAAAATGTCAAAACACCTTTGAATTTTAATTCACATTACACACATGCTGACATCCCAAGTTCTGTTTTAACCAAGGTGACCATTTTCCGGAAGAGGAAAAATCAGACTGCCTAGAACGTTTGTAAGTTGGTTTTGTTTAATCATCTCAAGTAAAAATAGCCAGTTGGTTTCCTTAGGAAGAACTTAAGTTCTTAGAATTCCGATAACCAGAACTTAACTTTCTTGGAACTCAGATGGCCTATTTTTATTAAAGAGAAAAATAGCTGTCAGAAAACCGGCACTACTTATCAAAACGATCACATCTGGGAATAGTTTGGAAATCACTTGGAGGCAGGTGACAGTGTGGCCTGTGGAACCCAAGAGGGTCTGGCTCTCTCTCTTTCCAGCTTCACTTTGGGTGGTTCACACTGGAAACCTTTCAGTTCTTTCCAGGCATCAGGGGTTCCCTCCAGCCATTGTTCCTTTGTTATCAGCTGTTCCTTCTGCCCAGAAGTGCTTCTTTCTGTTCTTTTGTCAGTTCGAACAGGACTTTTAGATATCAGCTGTGTTCCTCTGCAGTAGAGCTGAAAATGTTTCTACATAAATAGTAGAACTCTGTAGAACAGAAAAGAATTCGTATTCATCTGAAATATTCTTGCTGCTCTAAGGACATCATCAGTATTGGTGTCCTGCCTCTTAAATCTCCTATTTTCCGTTCTGTTTTTTTCCTGTTTAATCAGAAATGGCAAAGCTACAGTAAAATTTCTCATTACCTTATTTATACTTTAATAAACTGTATTCCATACCCCCGGAAAAGAATACAACCAGAAATTTTGGTGATAGACTTTTGACTGGGTTGTGGAGAAGAGGAGCAGACGAATTTGCCTCGCAAAAGTTGGTAGACTATTCCTGCTTGTTCTCCATCATACCATACGGAGAAGAGGGAAAGAATAAAAACTAATGTCTCTTTTTGAAATCCATTTACAGGCATATCTCAGGTACGGTGGGTTGGGTTCCACACTGCCGCAGTAAAGGGAATATCGAGTCTAATGAATTTTTTGGTTTTCCAGTGCATATAAAAGTTATGCTTACACTATACTGTAGTCAATGAAGTGTTCAATAGCGTTGTCTAAAAAATATGCATACCTTAATGTAAAATATTTTATCGCCAAAAAATTCTAACCATTATCTGAGCTTTCAGTGAGTTCACTGATCACCATAGCAAATATAATAATAATGAAAATGTTTGAAATATTGCAAGAATTACCACAGTGTGACACAGAGACCTGAAGTGAGCAAATGCTGTTGGAGAAATGGTACCAATAGACTTGCTTGACTCCTTGTTGTCACAAACCTTCAATTTGAAAAGTGCAGTAAAGCAAAGTGCAGTAAAATGAGGTATGCATTTATTTCTTTATGGGGAACTTGTAATGTTATAAGAATACTTTCTCTTTTTTAAAAAATGTTTATTTGTTTTTGAGAGTGAGTGTGTGAGCTGGGAGGGGCAGAGAGAGAGGGGGACAGAGGATCTGAAGTGGGCTCTGTGCTGACAGCAGCGACCCTGATGCAGGGCTCGAACTCACGAACCACGAGATCATGACCTGAGCTTAAGTCAGATGCTCAACCGACTGAGCCACCCAGGTGCCCCAAGAATGCTTTCTTTAAAACAGATTTTAAAAAATATTTCATTATTGCTTTCCATTTTGATTGTTGTCTTTTAGTTCCTGCTTTGTTTCAATAATGTCCTTAATCTTTTCACAACAGTATATTGTAGGAGTTATGCAGAAAGTGCCAAGGAAGTTATATATGAAATAAAACTGTCATCCAGCTTGGGCAACAGGCAAAGTTTTCTTTGCTAAAGTAGAAGTACATTATTAAAAACCACATTCTGCCTTTAGGTTGTTTTACTTTAGATAACTTTTTATTTATTTTATTATTTTTTTAAAGTTTATTTATTTATTTTGAGAGAGAGCACAGAAGCCGGGGAAAGAGAGCGAGAGAATCCCAAGTAGGCCCTGCACTGTCAATGCAGAGCCCGACTCGGGGCTCAATCTCATGAACCACAAGATCATGACCTGAGCTGAAATCAGGAGTCAGGCACTTAACTGACTGAGCCACCCAGGCGCCCCTAGATAACTTTTTTTTTTTTTTTTTAATTAAGTAGCTTTGCAGAGCTCCAATAAGGAAACTACTGTAATGGAGAACCCCATAATTGGGAGAGGAGGTACTTTAACAAGGGAACTGGAAGTCATGTGACATTTTATCCAAAATGTGGTGCATTTCTGTGTTTGTGTATGTTATTCCAGACCCCCAAATCTTACCAGATTCTGAAAACCCCAAAAGAGAAAGGAATCTTACTCTAAAACTTAAAAATCAGACTCTGCCTACTTAGGACATTCCTAGAGTTAAAGGAGACTGAATTAGCTTTCCTCCGAGGTTCTTTTCACTGTGTTAGATTTTTACAAATCTCCGGCTCTGGGGGGTGCTGGTACAGAGCTGAACGCCAAAGGGGTACAAGGGGAGCCTACAAACGGAAGGAGAGGTCAAAGATGAAAGAGCATGACTAGCTCTTGAGTTAGATACTTTTGGAATTACATAGCTGTGTCTACTACCATTCCTTTAAAACTTTTATTTTGTCAAAGGCTTGTCCAGAATATAAGCATCCCTTACCTACCAACTGCCCTTCCTGAGCTAAAGAAGAAATAAAGACTCAGCTGGGAATGCAGTGTAAGGAGTCATTGCAGTCCTAAATTTATGCAGTTTATTTATCAGTGTATTTTATCCTTAGATTGGTCCTTCTGCTAGTGTGTGTGTGTGGGGGGGGGGGGAGTTGTTATTTTTGAGGGAGTTTGTTTTTGTCTTAAGGGGAACATTGCCACTGGCCACCTGATTCCTTGCTAGTAAGCTGGTGCAGTGATCTAAATCTGTGCAATATTCTCTCTGCAACAAGCTGGCACTGTGTGCATGGTACCAGTTGAATGTCCTGATGGCTGCACAGTACTGTGATTATAATGACTCTTCAAGCAAGTGGTTTGCTTTAGAATTCACCAGTGATTTAAATTTATCAAATTATAAAATGAAGTTAGACTCTGTAGGTCCCAAGAAACAAATCACCTAGAAGCAGTTTATCTTATAATGGTGTCCTTTTCACCATTAAATGTGAAAATTGATCTGTACTAAATTGAAATGCTATATTTTTACCTTGAGGAAGATCCATAATGTCAGCAAATTATATCTTTGAACCTTTGTGAGAGTCAATATTTGCCTAAGGCAAGGGAGGCTTAGCCGAACTTCAGGCTGACAGATTTGTTTACTTGGATCTTACATATGACTACAGGTTGTTTTTTGTTTTTTTTTTTTTAACGTTTATTTTATTTTTGAGACAGAGACAGACAGAGCATGAACAGGGGAGGGCCAGAGAGAGGGAGACACAGAATGCGAAACAGGCTCCAGGCTCCGAGCTGTCAGCACAGAGCCCGACGCGGGGCTCAAACTCACGGACCACGAGATCATGACCTGAGCCGAAGTCGGACGCTCAACCGACTGAGCCACCCAGGTGCCCCTGACTACAGGTTTTTAGTAGCAAGGTCATTAATTCACGAATTAATATAATTTTGTAGTTGGAGCCTTATAATGAATGGCGAACATTAAAACGTTCTCTTTAGGGCGCATGGGTGGCTCAGCCCGTTGGGCGTCTGATTCTTGGTTTTGGCTCAGGTCGTGATCCCAGGGTCATGAGATCAAGCCCCCCCCCCCCCCCCCCGCATCAGGTTCCATGATGAGCATGGAACCTGCTTGAGATTGTTTCTCTCTCCCTCTGCTCCCCTCCCCTACTCATGCTCTTTCTCTCTCTCCAAAAAAAAAATTTTTTTAAGTTCTTTTTATGAGAAATGCTTTAGTTGTAGACTGTTAAAGACAAATGGTAGAGACTTAGTGTTTAATAACGACTGTTAATTTTAAGGAAGACTGAAGTTTCAGAAAGGGTAGTGAAACTGAAACGGAGAGAGACACAGGGTAGTCATTATTTGAATGTTTAAATCACCAGAACTGTGAGTAAGCCATGTCTTAGTCACTAAGATTTCCCAAATGTGTTGACCCTAGCACGTTGGTTTTAATGTAACATTTAACAGCAAAAGGGGAAATGCACAGAACTCTGATTGTAACTTCGAAAATCCAGTCTTATAGGGGGAAGCCTACACAGATATACATAGTTGTCAAATGAACCTAATAAGCAGTTTTTATGCGGCTGGGGGGGGGGGGGGGGGGGGGGGGGGAGAAAGCACAGAGTGGGAGTCAGGAGACCT